CGCCGACGGGGACGCCTCCATGGACGCCGCCATGTATGCCGCCGTGGATGCCGCTGTGGACGCCGCCGCCGCCGTGGATGCCGCCGTAGACGCGGCCGTGGAAGCCGTCGATTCTGTTGTTTGCTCCCCACAGGTCGTAGACGTGGAGAACCACCTTGAAGCACCCGCCGCGGCTGCAGTCACCAACCAGGTCGGCGCCGGCCGGGCGCCACCAACACCGCCACAACAGCGAGGAGGGAAGCGTGCAGCACCTGCAGCACCGCCACAGCAGGGAGGAGGGAAGCGTGCAGCACCTGCAGCACCGCCACAACAGCGAGGAAGGAAGCGTGCAGCACCTGAGGAGGCAGAGGCAGAAGAGGACGGCGGCGAGCCTGTGATCGACTTGATTGCATCTTCTGTGAGGTATTTGGGCCAGTTCAAAACAACGTTTCGCCAGGAAACATTTCGTGTTAGAGACCTGCAAGAACAATTACTTAAAGATAATGTCTATATGGAATCACTGTTTGACACAATCATAGAGAGACAAAAAGAATTATTAAATTGTAAAGATAACGATAGATGTGTGTTTGAACTGAGAGGAGATGAAGGAAATGAACCCCTATGGTTTCACCTTCGCCCTGTAAATCAAATTAATGGCAAAATAATACTTGAGAAACTTGTTCGTTGCTTAAATTCTAATCAAAACTTTTTTGCGGGTGATTTTCATGTTTCTTTTATTCATGTACCTGCTTTACGTGGGGGAGCCCGTGATAGAAGGGCTCATGAAACCGTTGAACAGTGGATCCAGAGATATTGTTTAAGAAAAAGTATGTACGATCCACAAAATGCTGATGATAAAATGTGCCTAGCTCGCTCAATAGCTTTCTTACAATTGTATAGGGGAACTGATTGCTATAAGGCTAAAGCAAAGTTGAGAATGCCTGGTAATGGTGATGTTAAAAATTTGGCTACTAAATTATGTAATACTGCTGGTATTGATCCTGAAAAAGATTGTGGGTTTGATGAAATGGCGAAACTTCAATCAGTTATGAGGGAGAGATTGGTTGTTTTTGTTGATAAAAAGTGTAAAGAGATAATATTTAGTGGTTCAAAGACTGACGAGAAAGATATAAAAAGAGACAAAACAATTTTTATAGTTCAGAATGCAGATCATTTTTATGGTGTTCTCAGAATAAAAGCAGTTCTCGAGGTTGGATATTTTTGTTATGATTGTCTGGTTGGGTATACCAACGGTAATTCCCATACCTGTCATTTTCAGTGTAAAAGATGTGACGGAGACACATTGCATACTGAAACTCCATTAAAAGAATGTGGTCTCTGTCATCGTTTCTTCGCAGGTGAGAGATGTTTCCAAAATCATTTGTTAAAACAAGGCGGGACTAAAACTGTTTGCGAATTGAAAAAATTTTGTAAGATTTGTAGAACCTTTTACCACCTTGATGGTAAAACAAAAATGAAAAAACATAAATGTAATTGGAAAGTTTGCAAATATTGTAATAATTATATGCCAGGAAATCACAAGTGTTATATGATGCCTTGGGAAGAAAAGAAAAAATCAGAGGACTGTAGATACATTCGTCTCTATTTCGATATTGAAGTGAGCCAAGACTCGTCTTTTGAAGGTAAAGAAAACTGGAAAGAACACAAGCCAAATCTGTTAATTTGTCAGCAAGTTTGTGATCACTGTGAGAAAGATAGTAATATTAAAAATGATTGTGAGGAATGTGGCGTGCGAGAGCACATCTTTGAAGGCTTTGACGAAAATTCAGATGTTGTACTTGATTTTTTAAATTATTTAACTGATTTAACGAGTGAGCGAAGGACACATATTACTTGTTTTGCACATAACTTAAAATCATATGATGGCTATTTTATCACCAAGACTTTGATTGAGAAGAAAAATATCACTCCTAAAGTTACCTTATCTGGTGCTAAAATATTAAACTTAACAACAGATGCCCTATCTTTTAAAGATTCTTTGATGTTTATACCAATGAGACTCAGCAGCATACCTAAATCTTTTGGCTTAACTGAGTTAAAGAAAGGATTCTTTCCCCATTACGGAAATTCTTCTGAGTATTGGGAATATTCAGGCCCCATGCCTCCAAAAGATCTCTACTGCACCACTTCATTTTCTGATGGTGATCTTGCTGAATTTAACAAATGGTATGATGATCAAGTAGCATCAGATTATGTATTTAATTTTAAAAATGAAATAATTTCTTACTGTCAATCAGATGTCAATATATTAAGAGAAGCCTTACAGTCTTTCAAGGATTTATTTATGGAAACTGCCGGGTTTGATCCTCTTTTCAATTGCATAACCTTATCTTCTGCATGTATGTGTAATTTTCGTAGAAATCATCTTGGCAGTACTCAAATAGGTATTGTCCCCCGTGGTGGCTATAGGGGGAGAGACAAGGCAAGTTTTGAGGCGTTAAAATGGCTATCATATGAAGAACATGTTTTAGGACATAAAATAACTCATGCAGAAAACTCACGGGAAGTTTATGTGTTGAACAATCCTGTGGATGGCTATGTCGAACTTCAAAAAGCAGATGGTTCTATTGAGAAGCGTATCTATCAATACCATGGTTGTTACTTTCATCTTTGTAAGAAGTGTATTCCAGATCAAAATGCTAGAACTAGAATTAGAGGTCGATCGAAGGAGGATCCCTATGAAACAACAAAGAAAATGACAGAAAAATATAGAGATGCAGGTTATGTTGTCATAGAGAAATGGGGTTGTGAATTTGCTGAAGATTTAAAAAGTAATAATGATGTAATTAATTTTTTTGAAAACAAACCTTTTACTCGAGTTGAGCCACTTAATCTTCGAGATGCTTTATATGGTGGCCGTACTTCAGCGTTGTTTTGTGAATATGTAGCTGATCTAAAGCAAAATGAGAAAATCAAGATGTTCGACGTAATTTCCGAGTACCCGGCGTGTCAACATCATAGATGTTATCCTGAAGGCCATCCAGATATATTTTGTGAAGGGGATCCTGCAATGCCAGACATTTCAGTCATGAACGGTGTCGTTAAAGCTACTGTACTTCCACCTCAAAATTTGTTTATACCTGTTTTACCTTATAGATGTTGTAAGAAACTTCTCTTTCCTCTGTGTAGAACTTGTGCTGAGACGATGAATCAAAATGTTTGTAACCATAGTGATAAGGAGAGAGAAATGCTCGGAACTTGGTGTGCACCAGAGTTAAAATTAGCTGTTGAAAAAGGATATACAATTATTCGTATTCATGAATGTTATCAGTACCCTAAAGTAAGAGAATACAACCCTAAAACAAAACAGGATGGTATGTTCTCATCTTACGTCAGGGAAAACATGGCAATGAAAATAGAGTCCACAGGTTGGCCGAGTCATGTTGTGACAGAAGAACAAAAAGATAAATTTATCAAAATGCATTTTGACAAGGATGGTATCGTGCTGGACAAGTCCAAGTTCAAAAAGAATCCAGGGAAACGCACACTTGCCAAGTTGATCCTCAACAGTTTCTGTAAGTATAAAAAATTAAAAATAATATAATTTAATACTTTGTTTTCATTAAAGATTGTGTTTTGGTTATGTTCACACTTGATTAATATTTTTCTTACTCTTTTCATTGCAGGGGGTAAACTTGGAGAGAAAACGCTGCGACCCCAGACAGCATTTGTCAAGAACTTTGCTGAACTGTCAACGTTTACAGAGAATTCCTCATTGACTATTTCTGGACTCCTGCCTTTGACTGAAAACATCATGCAGTTGACTTTCACTGAGCATGAAGATTTAGAAGACAGCAAACCAACAACAAGTTTGGTTCATGCTGCTTTCACAACAGCCCATGGTCGGATGGTCTTGTATGAGTATCTCGACATGCTTGAGGATCGAGCCCTATATCATGACACAGGTGTGTAAAAGAGAAAACATTTTGTTAATATTTTCTCAGTTGACAAGTCATTTTTTAAAAAGTATATTAATTTATTGTATTTACAATTTACTAACCTCAAATTGTTTACCTTCTTCTGTTACCATCCAGATTCCATTTGTTTTGTGTCAAGAGAAGGACTCGACGACCCTCCCCTGGGTGAGCATCTGGGGGATTTATCGGACCAATTGTCTGACGATCTGGGGAAAGGCTCCTTTGGGTTGCGTTTCTGCGCCGCCGGTGCTAAAAACTATTCCTTGATCTGCGCGGTGGGTGGTGACACCAAGCGGGAGTCAAGAATAACCAAAGTGAGAGGTTTGACGATTGACCAGAGCTGTAAAAAAATTGTAACATTTGAGAGGTTAAGTGCCATGGTGAGAGGCGAGTATGAAAAGACAACTATCCAAATTCCTACACAAATTGCAAGGGTATCGGGGTGGCGTATTGTCTCACGCCCCTCTAGCAAGGTATGGAGAGTTTGTCTGAACAAGAGACGTAGAATAGAGGGTAAGGGTATCACTGTACCTTACGGGTTTACTGGAGAAACACTGGATAGGGATGATTATGACACTATACTAGCTATGATGGACATGGACAAAATGATAATGGATCAATCATGACACATTCATTGTAAATAAATACTTTAAGAAAATAAACTGTGATATAAATGCTTTGTTTTGATTGTACTCATCCCACTGCCTTAGACGAAAAATAAAGAACGATTTTGTGAATACGAAAATGAAAAAATACAAACCTCTATCATGACACACCATTTTCTCATCCCGCCGGTGGGCGGTCTGCATTGTGCTGCCCCCTGGTGGGGCCCCGTGAAAGTAGACGAGACTTCTGCTGCGACGGCTCCAAGTAAACAAATAATACATCGCCGCAGACGACAGACATAACCTGAAATATACAATAAATACAATTAGTCCTCGTACAAAACAAACACTTGTGTTCGAGCAGTCCAACAGTGAAGATGGATATCCGATTCCAGCACCCCGCAAATACGCTGCTGGTGGGCGGGAGCGGGGCGGGGAAAACGACGCTGATGATAAAAATAGTCAAAGCTCGTGATGTTATGTTTAATGTAAAGTTTGTCGAAGTTGTTTGGCATTACATGGAGTGGCAATCTTGTTATAAGGAATTAGCAGACAGCGATAAAAAAGTGACGTTTGTGGAGGGCGCCCCGACTTTGGATCAATTTCCCGCAGATGAGGGTCCTAAATTATTGATTTGTGATGATTTTATGGATCAACTGAAAGACCCACAATTTTTAAAATTGGCTATCAAAGGTTCACATCATCGTAATTTGAGTTTTTGGCTGCTCTCGCAATGCATTTTCCCGAAAAACATGAGGGAAATCAGTCTACAATCCCATTATACAATTTTAATGAAAACCGCAAGGGACTTAGCACAGGTGCGAAGTTTTGTAATGCAGATAGACCCGATTCATTGGCGCTCTCTCATGGAAGCATGGATTGACAGTACGAGACAATCTGGATACAGTTATCTTCTTTTCGATTTTCATATCACACAAGAAGAACATTTGAGGTTACGTACCTCTATTCTCCCCAACGAGACGACCGTTGTGTACGTACCGAAAGGAAAGTATAAGAACGATCTTGTTCACAAATGACACCATTTCGCCGTCAGCTCTCAGACAGTGCGGATCGCACCGCGGCGCGATGCCTAAACGACAAAACAGTTGTCACAACGACATTTTAAAATTGTTGGGAAAAGTGAACCCCGGTACAAGGAAAGCGCTTTTACAAAACGCAGATAAAGCTCTGATTTACTCACTTTGCGAGTTGTGCGATAACACACTCGCGGGTAATATACATCTGACGCCGTCAGAAAAGCAAAAATTGGCAAAGTACAAAAACTTGTTGAGGAAGATCGCTCGCCGCGGGGAGTCCTGGAAGAAGAAAAAACAAATCATCGTGCAGCGCGGCGGCGCCGGCCCCTTCCTCCCACTGCTGCTCAGCGTTATTGGGCCCGCCATCGGCAAACTCATTTTTGGCAGTTGATTTTGCTGCAACATTGAAAAAAAAAAAAATGCAACACACTAAGAAACTCGTACTCATTCCACATGAGAGTCTGTCAAGGCTGCAGGATGCTCCTGTCGGCCGAACAAACGGCTCTGCGGCTTCGGATCTGGATATGGACATGTCAAAAATATTAGCGCAAAATGCAGAAGACAGCGAAAAATGGCGACTTTACGAAGAAACGCTGCAAAGGTATTTACACTTTGTGAAAGAGCAAAAGAAACCCCTTTCGATAGTTTCGACCACCATGACAGAAAAAGAAGAAGAAAATCCTGAAAATCAAGAAAACAACAACGAAGCTGTTAGAACACGGATAATGAGTATAGTACCGCCGAAAAGTAAGCAGCTGGCCAGTGCGTTTTGTGACTTTCTCGTGTCACCACGCGTGCAGCAGTCGATCAGGTGGGACGATACGGGAGAACTTCGCATAGACAACGTCAAGATCCCCCAGGCGAACATAATCGATTTAGTTTCGGATTGTGTACGTACGCGAAAGAAAGCACGCGCTATTGGACACACTTATTTCCTGACAGCGCTCAAAAAATTGAATGTTCCGCAAGAATTTATAGTTAATACGGAATATCAAGAGTTTATCCGGGGACAATCGGGTTCCGGTGGGCCCGTTGAAGATCATGTCACGAAAGACTCGGAGTCAAACCTTACCGCCTCCATCGCAGCCGTTGCCGCTGCCGCCGCTGCCGCCCGCCGCCGCCGCCCGCCGCCGCCACCCCGCCGTCTCGCTGCGTCGCGAGACCCCCGCGGCCGTCCCCGTCTCGCTGCGTCGCGAGACCCGCCGGCCCGCCCCCGCCCGCCCGGTAAAACGAGGTGCACGGTCACACCATGGTCGCGTTGGGCTCCTTGAAAAGGTATATCTGGACAGAAAGGACCCTGCTGTCTACAGCCCTCCAGAACGCCTCTGGCACGGGGTGAAGAAACGTGTTGCAAAACGCAATGTGATTGACTTTCTTAGCGGACAAGACTCCTACACTCTACATAAATATGCTAGGAAAAATTTTCCACGCAACGTCACTTATTCAGATGGCGTGGACTCGATCTGGCAATGTGATTTGATGAGTTATGAAGACATCGCCTCTCACAACGGAGGAGTACGTTTTGTTTTGATTGTTGTAGACGTTTTCAGTCGTTTCCTGTGGACAGTCCCGGTCCGTGACAAAAAAGGCGAGACTATCCTTAACGCTTTTAAAAAACTTTTCGAAACAACTGAACGTCGTTGTGCTACCCTGTTAAGCGACAAGGGTGGTGAATTTCGAAATAAACGCCTGCTTGCCTTTTTGAAACAAAACGGTATTGCCTATTTTCACACAAACAACCCGCAAACCAAGTGTGCTATTGCCGAGCGCCTGATTCGCAGCATCAGGCTTTGGCTGCAAAGAATTTTCACACAAACGCGCAGCTATAACTATGTCGATGGCGCGCTCGCCGACGTGACTCATGCATACAACAACAAGTATCACAGAACGATAAAAATGACCCCCACTCAGGCAAGCGACCCTTCACGCATGTTGGAAGTGTATGACATTCTTTATGGCAAAATGAACGAACGACACGTTAAACCAAAGCTTAAAAAGAATGACTACGTGCGAATCTCACGTGAAAAAGATAAATTTGAAAAGGAATCACACAACTGGAGCAAAGAGATTTTTCAAATTACACAAGTTATACCCCATCCTCAACCTGTTTATAAAATAGCTGATATTGATAAACACGAGGAGATAGAGGGACATTTTTACGAATGGGAGCTCAATAAAGTTCAAAAACCAACCTTATTTGAAATTGATCACATTGTGGACACGCAAGGCAAGGGGCCTAAGAAAAAAGTTCTCGTACACTGGGTGGGGTATCCAAAATCTGCACGATCGTGGATTTTTGAAAAAGATCTCGAAAAATTATAAAACGAAGCTCTCACAGAAAACCTGTATCAGTCTCTCGCTGTGCCTCGCCCGAGATGGATTTCCACATGGTTCTCCCGAGTAACTCTTCCCCCAGTATTTATCCAAACAATAAAACGTCCGAGTTCAAAGTCGATTTAGAAGAGAGATGCGAACTCCACGGCGATTGGGAGATGGCTCTCCTAGAAGTCCACTATCCAAACACAATAATTAACGTGTGTAAAGAAGAAAGCTGGATACGCATTTACGAGGTCCCCCCGCATATGCGACAGGCCAGGACGCCGAGACAAGCCACCAACCGAGGCCCACAGTTTACGGTGGACGCGCCCAGCCTTGTTGAATCGGATCTACCACCCAACGGCTTGCGGCACGAGTTTCATCTTACACCGGGACTGTACACGTCTGTCAGCGCTCTAATAGATAACATAAAGGAATCTTTGAAACCGCTAGAGAGTTACTTTGTCATTAGCCCCGATAACCCTATCCCAGTCGCTTCGGACAACGATGCTCTGGTCGGCGTGCAAGATTTCAAGTTTTACATGGGAGCTCTGTATGAACTCGTCGACTGCGTGACATTCTTTGCGCCCCGCCTCGCTCAACAGCTGGGACTCCCCCACTCGGGCCCCTACTCTACACAGACCCCTGTCAACGCTGTACGCTACGTGGACCTGAGTCTGGGTCAGCCCGGACAGATGTATATCTACATCTCTATCATCGCAAACCAAATAGTTGGTCATACGCGCGCGCCGCTTCTACGCACTGTCCCCCTCAAGACCGACGCCAGGTTTGGAACGATCTCAACCTACAAGTGTGAACACCCGATTTATCACAGCCTTTCCACAAAATCCTTTGGCGATCTCGAAGTGAATATAAGGACAGACACCGGCCATCTTTTGCCATTCTGTTCCGGGACGGCGTTACTGGTGTGTCACTTTAGACAACGTGTCCGCTCCTGAAAAATGGTCACCGTTGATGAATATTATCTGCGCCAGGCTCAGACTGGGTCTGGCCTACCCTACTACAGCGGCATCTCTGGTCAACGAGGACACGGCTTTGGTTCATTCCTCGGAGGACTTTTTCGTACCATAGTACCCCTATTTACATCTGGCGCCAAAATGCTCGGAAGTGAAGCTCTGAGAGCCGGCACAGGTGTCCTCGCGGACATGGCGGCGGGGCAAAACCCCGTGGAAAGCCTGAAAAGAAGAGGAGCTGCTGCAGGTCACAGTCTCGTGGACAGGCTGAGTGGAGGAATGCAAGGGAACGGTATAAAACGCGCCCGAGGCAGGCGCAGCGTCCAGTCGGGTCGGGTAGCCCGTCGCGGTAACACTCGAGCCGCTCCGAAGAGGTCAACGCTGCGGGATATATTCCACTAGCACGATGAGTTTTCTACATCACAGCAGCGCCGTCGCGGTGCAGAGCGCGCTGGATCTATGGATGAGTAAAAATACAAACGTTTCCGTCATAGACACGAAGAAAGAACCGTGTAAAGCTGTTGTCGGCGTCACTCAGACCTCGACACAAGTGCAGTTCCGTATACACGGTACATCGGCTTACATTGACACCAACGGGATCGAACTGGACTGTACGTTCAGAATCACATCGTCGGATGGAAAAGCTCTCGCCGCCAATGAGTCCGATGTGGCGCCCGTCAACTACATCATGCATTCAATGTGGGAGCAGGCGAGCCTCAGCATAGGCAACACGCCAATCACTCAGAGCTCCATGACTTACCCGTATCGAGCGTACCTGGAGGCCGTGCTGTCTTACGATCGACCTGCCAAGGTAAGCCACATGGGGATGAGACTGTATTCGAAAGATACAGCAGGCCACATGGACTCCTTCACCGGGGATGATAACGCAGGCCTCGCTGAAAGAAGACGCAGGACAGCCAACAGCAAGATTGTTAAGGTGCGAGGTCCACTACACCTCGACTTTCTGAATCAAGAGAAATACCTCCTACCCAATACAGACCTTGAAATCAAGCTATCGAGGGGGAAGGACTCCTTCGCTCTGATGTCTACTGCTCAAAGTGAAAAGATCGAGATTCTCGATGCAACCCTTTGGGTACCCCGAGTGACTGTCTCTCCATCAATCTGCCTGGCGCACGCGAAGGCTCTGGAACACTCACCTGCACGTTATCCGTTCACCAGGACTTCGATCAAAACCGTCACGATCCCCGGAGGGCTTCGCGATAAAAGCATCCCCAATGTATTCATGGGCCCGGTTCCGAACCGGGTTACGGTCATGTTCGTGTCGAATGTAGCCTATAACGGGAGTTACCGTCATAACCCCTTCAACTGTCATCACTTTGACCTGTATAATCTATCTCTGTTTGTCGATACCGACCAATACCCTGCCATTCCGCTCACTCCCGACTTTGCTAACGAGCAATGGACCGACGCTTACTCGACTCTTTTCTCCGAGACAGGGATTCATTTTAAAGATGAAGGGAACGACATAAGTTATGACGATTATGGTAAGGGTTATACAATTTTCTGCTTCGACTTGACTCCAGACAAGAGCGCACACGAGGGCCACTGGAACCTCCAAAGGCAGGGTGTTGTCAGACTGGAAATGCGCTTTAAAGTTCAACTCCCAGCGGCAGTAAACTGCATTATTTATTCCGAGTTTGATAATATATTAGAGATTGACAAAAACAGACAGGTCATAGTCGACTACAGCGTGTAGCCATGGACGGTACTACACTCGAGACCTTTCTGAGGAAAGACCCTCACGCTTCGCGTGACTTTCTCGGCGTGTTCGCTGCAGACACCCTCCCCCGCACGATTAAAAAACCTGCGCTTATCATTGTTAATTCTGACCCCATTTCAAAGCCAGGAACTCATTGGCTTGCCATCAGCGTAGACGCATGTGGAAGAGGAACCTTTTTCGATTCATACGGTGTCAAACCATTTGTAAAACAACATGAAGTTTTTATGTCGCGTGTCTGTAAATCATGGATATATAATCATACCGATCTGCAGGCCATTGACAGCTCTGTTTGCGGCCAATACTGTGTCATGTTTTTACTCTGTAAAGCTCACGGATTCTCTTTAAATGACTTCTTAAGCTGTTTTACTTCTAACTGTGAACAAAACGATATTCTCGTAGATAAAATGTTTACACGTTACTCTAAAAATGTCAAGCTTTGTGACGATGTTCATGTAAAAATTAATAAGCAAAAATGCTGTAAACGGGGAAGGAAATAAAATATTGTTCTTCAAAACATCTGATTTTTATTGTATCGCTTTTCCCCCACACGATAGTTTTCTCACATTTGATTCAGCAGAGCCTCACGCGGCCCGTGCCCGAAACAACGAAATAAAGCCACAACCACATTCTGCAGGTAATCACACGTCGCTCCCAAGTCGCTTTGTGTGAAACAAACAGAATATGCCCGTGACTCTATTTACGTCGTTCCGGGACGACCCTGCTCACGGCTCTTGCTGAATTCACAGTTTTTACATACGCCTCATTTTCTCTATCAAGACAAATAAATATGTACAACTGAAATTATATCTTTACGACATATAAAACACTTCTTAAAGACAGATGCACACTTCGAACAAGAAGCGAGATGTCTACACGGTAAAAACACAGCACCAAGATCGTCTCGAAAACATATTTTACACTTCACACTTTCATCACTTTCTTCTTCACTCCCGTGTCCGGAGTCACCGTCGTTGTTTTCTTTCTCCGCCAAGGCTTGAATTTCCTATAAAAACAAACAAACACATTTAAAGACCCGCGTCAGTCTTTTTGAAGTGACAGCTAAAAAAGAGAGGAGAGCAAGTACACACCTTGACAGTCATCGTGGCTGGTCTCTCCCCCTTCACGCTGCGCATATAATCAGAACCTTTCCTCTCCTTCACATACACACACTTTGAAAAATACAAAGCATGTTCAAACCACACATCATCCCCCTTACCCCAATCCTTGAGCCCACCCCCACAATGAAAACAAATGACTTTGTCAGCCAACGAAAGACAGAAAAATCCAGCGTCAGCTAACTCCTCTGAACTCACAGTGTCCTCATACTTCCAACCATTAAACGACTCTTGTCTGCTTTCCAGAGTCACATAAGATGGGTGTGCGGGGTCACCAATCTTCTTAGCACACTTCATCACAGGAGTATTCTCATTTTTCGCCTTCACCTTAACAACAGGTACTGAATATGACATGTGAGGCGCTAAACGCAAGAACTCACTTCCATACAATAATTCCCCCAAAACGTCAGGGTTCAATACACCCCCGCGCAAACGCTGTATCAAAACGTCAGGGTTCAGGACGCCCATACGCAGACGGTGCGTGTTATCCATTACGAAGTCTCTTCTCAAATGCCCCGGGGTACACAGCGTGTCGCTGCGCGCCGCGCCAGCATCCGCCGAACCGAGCCGCCGAGCCGCCGAGCAGAGCCGAGCGGAGCCGAGCGGAGCCGAGCG